GAATGGCTGTAGGTGGGTGTTTCCCTTTCCACTGACCCTTTCCAGGTCAGTTTGGCTTTGATAACTAGTTTCTCCTGAGAGCAGGCCTTATTAGAACAGAATGCTCTGGAACTGCCAAAATGGTTCATCTTCCTTCTCCCAACAACTGGGACTTTGCCCTGATATTCACTGCAAGAAATAGGTTTAGATCCTGGAGGTCAAACTCACAAAAGTCTGGGGCCCTCAGCAACTGGGACCCTGTGGGGTTTCTGACCCTCAGACTTATCTATATAAGCCTCTGGCACCTGTCAATTACAGGTCAGGCCCTTCGCTGGTTCCTACAGAAGCTTGCGTGTGAGCTTTTCCTCTGGTGAGTTTCAATTCTGTGTCTGTCAGTCTATGATTTTGGGGGCAATTGCTGGCTCTGTGACTTCACTTCTCTCATAGATCTAAGAGTTGTTGATTTTTCAGTTTGTTCCACTTTTCACTTGTTAGGATTAAGCAGTGATGTCTAAGCTTCTTACATGGGCTAGAAACACCCTCTCACCCCTTCCCCTGACACAGTCTGTACTGTACTATACTGATTCAAGGGGTAGATCCGGATCAGCCGTAACCAATCACCAACACACATTCTCCAACCCACTACCTCAAGCCTATTTCAAGATTGTAAGGGAAAGGTGCTGGTTTTGCCACTATAAACAAGCTGGGGCTCCAACATTTTAATTTTACTCTTAGATGGTGAGTGACCCCCGCAGGTTGTCAGTTTAGCAGCATCCAGATTGCTAGGGTCTCATGTACACACAGGATTGTCTTGATTTGGCCAATTTGCATTGTTTGTACTTTCCATGTGAAGCAACCATGTGTTTAGAAATCATTGTCAAATGCTTATTATGCTCCAAAGAGAAGGAGCAAGATAAGGTTACAATTCATGTTCACTCCTGCTTAAGCCCTAACACACAGGAGTGCCACAATGGCATCAAATACATTCCAGAAAGCTACTTCAGTGTATCGTAGATACTAAAACACAGTTTATTAAATTATAAAACAGTAGCCACATTAGCTAAGAAGTTTGTTCCCCCCTACCAAACCCGACAGTACCCCTACTGTGGCACTGAGAACAACAGAGATGCTGTGGTTTGGGTAGGTGTGGGGAGTTTGGTCCCCAGCGTTGTGCTACTGGGAGGTAGGGAAACTTGAAGAAGGCACCTTGTGGGAGGCCTTCTGGTCACTGGGGGTACACTGGAAAGAGCTGTGGGACCCTGGTCCCTTCATCTTTTCCTCACATTCTGGCCATGAGCTGAGCAATTTGCTCCATCAAGTACTCCCTGCCATGGTGTACTGCCTCACCACAGACCCCAAAAGAATGAGGCCAACGGAACATGGCCTGACACCTCCCAAACTGTGAGTCCAAATAAACTCTTTCTCTTCATAAGCTGATTATCTCAGGCGTTTGTTATAGTGATGGAAAGGTGACTCACCCAGTAGGAAACTTGGATTCAGAATTTGGAAGGACTGGCGAGTTACTCACTCGTGGTGCTTTCCCAGTCACTGAGAATCGTCTTGCTGAGCTGAGCGGGCACAGAACTGTGCAGATAAAAGGCCCAGCACAGCCAGGAAAGAAGTGGAAGGGAAACTTTCTCTTGGACAAAATCTAGTGGAATAATTAAGTTCCAAGGATAAAGACAGTATCTATCAGTCATCTGTTCATGAAAAAAAAAGCTTCATGTATTGGTCAGGGTACTTTCTTCAACAAGCAGTAAGTTCTGTAATTCAAACTGGAGCAAAGATAATAAGAAGCCCAAAGTCAGGAAAGCTCACATATGACACCTCGGGATACAGCTTCACTTTCTTTTGTGAAGTAAAATGGGCATTTGGGAATGCTACCGTGGCAATTAAGTGCATGTGTCACATCCCAAAATTAGGAGAAAATTACAAACTAAGCATTTTGGACCTTGAAGTAAACCAAACCAAAACACACAGGGTCACTCTGACACTCTAGAACCCCACTACTAATGCTGTTTCACTCATTCCCGGAAGTTGTTGACTCCTTGACCTAAAATACGTTTTTCTCACTTTTGTAATATGATAGCTGAAGATCTGTTACAACCTGTACGGATACAATTTTCATGTGAACATTTTGTGTTTTTCCCCCTCATATCATGAACAAATTTATTAATCATAGTAATTCTGTTTGTCTCATTTTTCCTCCGAAAACATGTTGTGTTTCCTTATTTAGCAATCCATTCTCTGAAGTCTGAACTTGCAACTATTTTGCAAATAGCATTTTTCTCTTGTTTTAAGTGCATCTGGCTGTATCTTCCTGTCATAGCTGAGGGGCTGCCAAGAGCACCTGAAGCCACCTCCGTATCAGAGCCAAGAAAGCTGCCCTCAGGGCCTGTCTGCCCGCCCGCATGACTTACAGAAAGCAGTGCAGCTGCCTTTCCCTGAGCCTGCACATTTGACGTGGTATTTGCTGGCTTTGTTTCTGCTTTAGTTTCTAGATTAAATTTTTGGCTAAGTTTCTGGTTTGGGTTCTGACTTGTGCACAGCGATTTACTTATTTCCCGTAGTGGAGTTTGGTGATGAGACCATTTGGCGATCTCTGCCCAATAGCTGACAGCAGGAATTTTGGTTGTTAGGGATTTTTGTTTGTGTGTGTGGGGGGGATACTGATATGCCCCAGGACCTTGAGCTTTGTTTATATTGTTTGTATATCAGTGTGGGCTCAAATCACTCAGTAAGGAAAGTGTTCTCTCTCCCTGAGTGAACAGCAGCCCTTTGATATCTGTAGGCCAACAAACTGGTGTATGTTTTATGATCTCTGGGTAAAGCTGGTAAAACTGAAAAAAATTGGTTCTTTTTTCTGTGTGTGTAGATTTAAAAAACCCTCTTGCCCCTAGTTCTCTTGATTTTGTCCTTTCAAGTATTGGTCTTGTCTTTGCACTGTATGACAGCTGTAGCACTTCTACCTATAGCATTCACATATTGTGACATGCAAGGGGGAAAATGCAGGCCTCTTCTTGCTCCAGTTCTTTCTTAGGAACAAGCAAACCTTCCCCAGAAATGCCATCAGACTTTCACTCATGTTTCATGGCTAACACTGAGTCATGCTTGTCTATTCCTGTATGGGTCCCTGACAAGTAAAATGAGATTATCAGACTAGATAAAGTCAGTTGTTAGGTGTGAAAAGAATATTGTGGAATTAGCTGCTGTATCTACTGACAATAAATAAAAATAAAATTCAAGGAGCATTGGACTTTTCAGAAAGTATGCACTGTATGTCCTACTTGAGAAAGTGTCCGCTATAAAATGAAAAGTTGATCAGGATAAGAAATACAGAGAGGCGAGAGTATAGATTATAGTAGAGTGCTTGCATAGTGTGGGTGAGGTCCTGGATTCAATCCCTAGCACCACAAGGAAAACAAAACAAACACACAACAAACAAACAAAGTAGGAAAGTTGGACACGTGTTGAGAAGGTGGTGAGTATGAGATATAGAATAATGGCTCCCCAAAGGTATCCATTCCAAAGATATCTTTTCCTTGGAACCTATGGATATGCTACCTTGCATAGTGAAGGTATGTGCAGACATGATCAAAGATGGCTTCTGGTCTTGCTGTGTGAGCTCTCCCACCATGTGTCATCTCCCATGTTGTGATGTAGCAGAAAGGCCCTCACCAGAGCTAAGCAGATGGTGGGACCATGCTCTTGAATCTCCTGAACTATGAGCTAAATATACTTCTTTCTTTTTTTTTAATAAAGTACCCAGCCTCAAGCATTTTCTTGTAGTGATAGAAAATAGACTAATACCTGGGACTATTCAGGGTTGATTTGTGTGTTTTGGGTGATTTTTTTCCACTTCTGAATCAGTTTTGGTTGTTCATGATAAATACTAAGAGGCTGATGCTATAACAGATTATCACAAACTTAGTGGCATAACACAATACACATTGATTATCTCAATGGTCAGAAATCTGAAATACATTTTATGTCATCAGGGCTGCATTTCTGCTGGAAGCTTCAGGGGAAAATCTGTTTTCTTTCCTCTTCAAGATTCTGGAAGATAGCCAGACGCGGTGGCCTATGCTTGCAATCCTAGGACTCAGGAGGCTGAGGCAGAAAGAATGCCGGGAACTTGAGGCCACCCTGGGCTCTGTAGTGGGTTCAAAGCCAGCCTGAACAGCATAGTGAGACCCTGTCTCAACAACAACAACAAAAATTCTAGAAGCACCTGTATTCCTTGGGTTATGGCCTCTTCCTCCCTTGGAAGTGTGCCACTCCACGCTGGAATTTGGAGAAAGTTTGACTGTATCCTCCAAGGATTCATGTGTTGGAAGTACGGTCCACCAAGACCCGAAGAGGGGCCCTGCCTACACGAGCCATTGTTAGACTCCAGTTTCTTTGGTTATCACAGAACTCATCCTCGATCCTGTACCCAACGCGTGTTAGGCAGTGGTCGTGGCTAGGCTGAGCGCATACGGTACTGACGCGACCCCTCACGCACAAAGGGCGGGGTGGATATTATTTTGAGTTTGCAGACGGGGACACTGAGGTCGTGAGAAGGTTGTCCGCGAGCCCCAAGGTGGCAGGTGTCTCTCAAACCTCGGTCTACCTGATGCTTACGGCTTCTTCCTCCACAGGCTCAGGGATGAACATCGGAGAAGTTCTGGGAACCGCCACTGTGCCACTTCGTGAACGCGAGCTTGGTCTTTCAAGTAGATTCTAAGTTCTTTAATGGACCAGCTGCGGGGAAAGCGCAAAATCCAAGCGGGTACCAAGGGACCCCTGAGTGCAGACATCCTCAAAGCTGCTAACCCCGACGCCTGGCTGGGCGCCCGCGGGTTCGCACTCCAGGACTCGCAGCACCTCAGAACCTGAAACCTTCGGGGAGGCGCAGGGCCGCTGGAGCCCTGGCGCAGAGACTTGGAGACGCCCCCCCGCTTTGCTTTCCGTTAGTTTCCGGAGCGTTTTCAGATTTTGCTTCTCACGCGCAGGAGCTAGCCGGCCCTCGCAGGACGCGCGGGGTCCGGGCGCCTGGGCGGGGCGGGGCGGGGCCTGGAGGGCGCCCTGTGCCGGCCGGCCGCGTCCGAGCGCCTCGGGAGCGCAGCGCCCGCGTATGGAGGCTTCCTTGGAGTCCGAGCCCGGGCCCCGGGGCCCCCCAGCCACCTCCGAGCGCCGCGGGCTGCGCTGCCCACTGCTGTCCGGCTTCCGAGAGGAGCTGCTGGCGCTCCTCGCCCTGGCGGGTCCCGCGGTGAGTCTGGCGGCCTCGCCGCTGGTTCTGGCGGGTTGGGAGCGCGGGGCTCGGGGTTCGTGTCGCAGCCTGCGCCTTGGCGGAGGTGGGGACCGAGCCGGGCGGGCTGCTCCGAGCCTTGGCCGCAGACCGCTCTGCACCCGGGGCCTGGGCACCAAGGCACCAGGCGGACGCCGATTCCAGCCAGCGAGGCAAAAGTTACTTCAACTAACGCTCGGAATTTGATTTCTTTGCAAACTAGCTGCAAAGCCTGGGTGGTTGGGTGTCTAATTGTCCTGAGGCTAGGACAAGCCGGGAGAGGATGAACTGTCTCATATGGGGCTTACATTTCCGCCAGTATTTGGAATCTAGAGTCAAGCTCTTCAGAGGAAGCCAGAGGCATTCTGCGCCCGACACTCCCCTCCCGGCCAATAATGGTGTTTAAAAACCGAGTTTTAAAAATACGGTTGTGGGCTGGGGATTTAGCTCAGTGGCATAGCGCCTCCCTGGCAAGCACAAGGTCATGAGTTTGATTCCCGGTACTAGAAAAAAAAAAGCCAAAAAAAAAAAAAAAAAAAAAAAACAACATACGGTTGTTTTGGGGTTGAAGTGGGGTGTGTGTGTGTGTGTGTGTGTGTGTGTGTGTGCGCGCGCGCGCGGTTATTATATCAGTAGACAAAAGGCCTCTTTTAGCCTTAAAAAGTAATAGTTTTTTTTTTTTTTTTTTTTTTAACCACAAGAATCACAACACATATAGTCCTACTCCCGTTCTCTTGCCAGTTTGGGTGGTTTTCAAGCCCCAGGGGTAAGAGAGCCGCTTCACTGGACAAGAAGCAGCAAGTGTATGTTTAAGGCAAGATACCCTTTTTGGCCATGGAGCAGACATTCTACACCTGCACGGACTAGGGCGGGCAGGTGTGTTCTCCTGGAGTGCTGGTGACACTGCTGTTCTTGGGATATGGTGATATCCAGTGTGGCACAAAGCCATGAGTGGAAATGTGTCTAGGACGTAGGCATTTGTGATTCTCAGCAGACTGGAAAGAACTGTTGCTTTGGAATCTCAAGATCTGGGGCTCTTTCAACTCTGATCCTGGGATTAAAAGTCCAGGTGACCAGGGCTCAAAGGCTAGCATTTGGGAGTTGACAGTTGGAAGGAAGGGATATTTGTTCAAGAAGGTTCAGAAACTTTGAGGAGTCAGAGGGGCCATCACTCCAAAGCTCCTTGTTGGGGGACATCAGGGCCACAAAAGGTAGAGGAGCAGGGAAGGAGAGCTACATGCTGAGTGGAGTCTTTGAAATCCTTTTTTCTTCTCCAGAACATTGAAATGGACCTCAATTTCCTGGGACTAGCTGCAGTTTTTTTTTTTTACATGCTTTGTGTTACTGATTTAAAGAAGTGGAAACTAAGGCTCCTTGCTAAGGTTATCAGATGTTCTGGGTTCTGTACATGTAAAGGATGATCCAGCAGTTTACAGATTATCCATCAGGTGGGGCTTCTCTTCAGCAGAGTTATGTGGGGACAGTTGGAAGTGTGAAGGGAGGGCAAGTGAAGGACAGCTCCAAAGGAGCATCTGTGATCTCCCCAAGGTATGTCAGGAAACAGCTCTGTGTCTCTTTTGGTCTCTGCTTGTCCATCCATAAAATGAAGATAATAGTCTGAGCTTTGGAAAGGGTTTTATTAAGCCAGTATTGCCTTAGTAGTACTGAACAACAAGATCAACAATGGGACAGCTTTGTGAAACCCAGCCTTTCCGGTGACCTGGTCCCTTGATGAGGGCGACCTCCCTGGGAAAGACCCTAGACTGCTAAAGAGAGGCACTTGCCCGTTCTGATTGTATGCACCATGCATGTTTACATGTGTCTGGTTGTGCTTATTACAAATGCAATACATATTCATCGAAGGAAAAAGAAAGAAAACCAGGACTAACAGAAGAATAAAAACCTCTGAATCTCACTACCAGGAGATAATTTGGTGATTTCCCTCCAGACCTTGGTATACATGTTCCTGTGAATGCTCCGCAAAAGTGTGATCAGAGACTTCGGCACTGGCTTAGTCTTTTACAAATTATGCACAGCGCCTCATTTGGTCTCATCATCTCTATTCCCATCTCCTATGTGTTTCCTAATTCCTGAATGACACAGGGAAAGAGGAGACTGTCTTCTTTTCTAATGCTCAGTGTGCAGTATTTTTCTGTATAGCTCTATCATATGATAGACAGGAGGGCTAATTTGGTGCTCCTCTCTACACATCCATTTTCCCTCATTCAGCACTTTCTTTCTGGACTTCCCAAGTATCGTGTTATCTCTGACCATTAAAGGCCTTAACATTTACCAAGATTTAAGGCTCCCAGGGAGCCTTAAATGAAGCCCCACCCCCTCTTTTTGTTCTTTTGAGACAGAGTCTGACTATGTAGCCCAGGCTGGCGTTAAACTTCCCACCCTCCTGTCTCAGCCTTGTCAGTACTGGGATTATTGATTATGCTATGTGTACAGTTTAAATGAGGTCTTGTAAAACAGAATAATCCATATTGTAAAGGAAAGATTGTAGGATGAACAGCTTTCCATATCAAAAAATTCTCTTTGTTTTATCTTGCAGAAGGCTTCAGGAAAGCAGATACTTTTGAGGGAAGGTAAGGGGCAGTGTGCAAATACTTTGCCTCAGACATTCCCACCTCACTTTCTCTTCCTCTTTAGCATCTTCTACCAGGCTGAATTGTCAGATCCTGAAAAATAACATCCAAGATAGATCCCTCATGGGCCCATGCTGATGTAAGAAAGTCAGGGCTGCCTTGGCCTGTTGTTCAGAAAGAGTTCCAGAACCTCCCAGGGCTACAGTGCTGACAATCAGGGAAGGCTGGGGGTTGCATCCCAAGATGGGAGTCACAGCACATGTGCATGCGTGTACACACACACACACTCTGACAGTTTGAATTGTTGCAGGCCTGGGGAAGTCTTTAGCAGGAAGTAGTTTGTTTTTTTTTTTTTTTTTTTTGGTTTTTCTCCGGTACCGGGAACCGAACTCAGGAAGTAGTTTGTGACAGGGGAAGGTCACTCGGGACAGGAGAGAATCCGGGCTACAGGATAGGAAAACATAGAAGAAGATGGTTTCTTTTCCAGACAGGTCAGAGAGTGAAAGAGTGGGTGCCACTGGACAGAGAGGTCTGGGACCTCTTTCCCTTCTCTCCAGCCTTCCTGCAGCCCATTCTCACCAAAGCCTCTGGTTTTAGCACCCTGAAAATCCCTCAGAGGGTTCTACCTCTTCACATCTCCACTCTGGGTAATTCCCAGCAGCTTCTAGTCTCTCTCCTCTTCAGCTCTTGCTGCCCTAAATGTATCACATGAAACCACTAAAGTCCATTTTGAATGCACACCTAAGCTGTCACATCCCTGCTCAAAACCCCAACCTTGGCTGGACGTGGTGGGGCACACCTGTCATCCCAGCACTTGGGAGGCTGGGGCAGGAGGATTGTTGCTAGTTCGAAACCAGCCTGGGCTACAAAGTGAGCTCAAGGCCAGCCTGAACTGCGTAGCGAAAAAGACAAATGAACAAACCCCCGACCTTGGTCTTTAAAGTCCTCAGTGGTTTGGCCCCCACTGTGCCTCCTGCTTGTCCTGTGACACTGCCTCCTGTGGCCCTCCACTGGCAGCCCCCGTCCATGGTCAGCCCACCTTGATCCCATCTGCCCCTCTGCCTGAGAACATCAGTCAGGGTTCAGCTCCACTTTGCTGCCTCCTGGAACCAGTGTCTTGCCCTCTGTGCCCTTCTAGCTTCGGCACACATGTGCACTTGTTGCAACCTCATCTTTCTTTCCATAGGGTCCCATAGGGTAGGAAAGGAGCAATGGTGCTTGGTTAACTCACACTCACAGTCCTAGTGCTTGGGATACACTCGTGCTCCAAAGGTCATTGTCCTGCATGGATTGAGTTGTGTCAGGTGACTTGGCAGGACCTTCCTTGGTGTACAGAGAGGAAGCTGTCCCAGATGGCTGTTCAGGTTCGTTCCCACACCAACCCTTTACTGCTAAGAGTGGACTTCCAAGTCCCCATGGGATGGGGTCAGAGACTGTTTTCACACTCTTGCATGGGCAACTGAGCAGGCAGGTGGCCTGGAGAACAGCTCTCATAAGTGACTGTGCTGTGAGAGTGTTTATCTTGCTACCAGGTTGTATGTTGCTGCCTGGGTAAAAAAAAAAAAAAGAGAGAGAGAGAAAATCCTGCATAAGAAGAGACAGCCAGGCATGATGGCTCATGCCTATAACCCCAGCACTCAAGAGGTTGAGGCGGGAGGATTGCTGCAAATTTGAAGCCAGCCTGGGCTACATAGTGAGTTCAAGGCCGACCCTGAGGGCCCTGTCTCAAAAAATGAATACATAAATAACAAAAAGAAGGGACAGAAGTATAGTCAGTCTGACCGTTTGGGGACTGGGCTGGGGATGGGCCTCAGGGCGCATGTTCTCCTACTGAGCGACGCCCCAGCCTTAGTTTCTGTTGTCAGTTTGGCTCCATCTGAGCACGGCCACTTCAGGTCATTGCTGTTTGACAGCTGCCTTTGACAATTATAGGAAACAAACCTTTGCCAGAAGTGGCGATGTCACCAAAAAGTGTCCAAGGAGGTCCCTAGATCAGAGATCGGAAACATTGATTCACTCCACCGCAGGACAGGTTGCAAGTTTGCTGACGTCCATGACCAAAAAGCGGATTTTCAGGCTGCATCAGTAGAAAGGTATAGAGATTTATTAGGCAGAATTTTAAAAGTACACATCCAGAGAGGCAGAGTGTGTGCCTTTCAGAGAGAGGGACATTAGATTTATCTGTTTTTGATGGTAGAATTTGTGAATCTATAGAAAGTTTGGGTTTGGTTTATAGAAGAAAAATCAATGGCCCATCCATAGGTAGTGAGATAATGAGTCTTTTCACATTTTACAGGAGAGAGGTAAGGGCCCAGTCTATTTTTAAGATTAGAATTCTGCCCCTTACCTTATCAATTAAGCTAGTTTATGGATTTAAAGTATCTTTGAGGAAGTTTAGACGTGATGGACCTAAAAGAAAAAAAGCATAAACAAGAAAGTACAGACATGGACAGCTCTGGGTAACTTTGTGTCCTGAGGTTGCAGTCTTCTTAAAAGTACAGATTTTAGGGGCTGGGGATTTAGCTCAGCGGCAAAAGCGCCTGCCTGGCAAGTGCAAGGTCATGAGTTCGGTTCCCGGTACCAGAGAAAAACCCAAAAAAAAGTATAGATTTTAAATTATGGTTTTCCTTCTCTCCATTCACCTTGTCTTCATTTCTCATGCCCTGTCAGGGAGTTCCCTGGCGCGGCGGCACACCTCCTGGTAGCAGAGTTCCGAGTCTGGAGCACTCTCGGAGCGAGCCCTGGACCACCGGAACCTTCGCTGAGGTGGGGACAGAGCGTGTATGAACAGGCAGATGCCTTGGCTAACAGACCTTTTACATCTATCTCTGTTTTTCAAGATAGTTTTAGTTTTTAATAATTTTAAAATTTTATTAATGTTTGCAGTTCATGCAGTTTACAGTCATCTCGGGCAGTGGTTACGTGTGCTTATTGTAGCTTGTTTCTCTCTTTAATCCCCTTCCCTTCCCTCCACTCTCCCCCTCTGCCTCTGGCTCCTCTGTCCTCTTTTTCATACTTGTTCAGGTTATTTGCCTTAGCTCATGTTATGGCCTCGTGTTTACATTAATTGTGATCATTAGGTCCCTGCACATGGCATATTTTTATTCTTATTTCCCCTTCCCCTCCTCACCCCTCACCCTTGTTCCCTTGGACCCTTTCCCTATTGCAGGAGATCCATCTCCTTGTCGCTTTCTATCCATCCTTTATCATTTTAAATCTGTCTCTTGAGATGGACCAAGGCACAGGTCCCCCCAGGTGGCCCCTGTGTGCACAGACCATGATCTGTGGTCAGGAGTTCATCCGAAGACTTGAAACAGGATCTGTGCAGAGTTAGTAAGTTTAACCTCCAGAGCCCTGTTCTCTTGGGACGGAGCCTGGGGTGGGACTGGCTGGCTTTGGCTGCCCAAGTTGGGCAGGGTCTGAGTTACATTCCTCATGGGTGAGACACAATACTGACACCCATAGTTTAAAGGAGGAGAGATTTACTTTGGCTCCTGATTTCAGTCTGGAGTTGGCTGACTCCAAGGAAGGAAGGGGTGGTGGAAGGATCTGGCAGAGGAAAGCTGCTCACTGCATGGCATCCAGGAAGCAGAGTCAAGAGAGGAGCCAGGAAGGGAGATATAGCCTTCTGGTCCTGCCTAAGTGACCTACATCTGTAGACCTGACCCCACCTTCTAGCAGAAGGTCAGCTGTTGTGTTCCATAACCAGTCACCTTTCAAACACCCCACCTCTGAGTGCAGGAGGCTTTGTGGGGACATCGTGGTATAAACCGTAACAGGCAGTGAGTGCACAGCTGCCTGCCTTCCCATAACCCAAGGAAAGCAGTGGCAGCCCTGGCATTGCCTCTGAAGGTACCGCTCACAGAAATAAGCTGAACTTAGCTTGCCTTCCTGGCCTTTAGTATAAGGGACATCTATCTGTTCCCACCCTTGGATTGGGCGCTCACCCTAAGAAAATGCTCCATTCCCACCCAAGCAAGAGAGACATTCACAGCAGTAGGACTTATGAAAGCAAAATGTGGGCTACACTTCAAAGGCCCGATGGTAGGGGAGGCTGAACGTGTTTTCACATGAAGCCATGAAAAACATGTGGCCTGGAGGGAGACAGAACTGTGAAGAGATGGCATTGCCCCTGAATGAACCACAGACTATTTGTAAGAGAAGTGACAGCACTTATGTCATGGCACTGTGTCCTGGTACATGCCTATGATGATCCAATGTCTCTGGCTTTAGATTCTGCAAAATCAGGCTGAACAGGTCAACTTTTTCTAAAAAATTAATTTCTATTTGTTTGCATGGCTGGGGGTCAAACCCAGGGCCTTGTGCTTGCTAGGCAAGTACCCTCCCACTGGTGTACACTCTCAAACCCAACCTTTCTTATTTATACCTCTTCCCCCTCCATTCTCACCCCTTGCTCATTTTACGTAGGTTCACTTAAGTAAACATTGCTTCTGCTTACTAGTGGGAAGCTCTGTTGGAAAATAGGCTCATGCTTGGTTTCTGCAGCAGAGAGAGAGGTGCCTGGGTCTGGGGTTGGGAACTGATGCGAAAAAGATATGTCTGCTACTTTTGCATGCGCGTCACACACGTATATGCACACACAGAGTTAGGGACAGGCCATTCCTTTTTTTAATCATTCCTTGTTTTCTTTCGAGACAGGGTCTTACTGTTTATCCTGGGCTGGCTTCAATCTTGGGACCCTCCTACCTCAGCCTCCTCAGTACTGGGATTGTAGGCATCCACTGCTGTATCAAGCCAATCTATTTTTTGAAGGACTGGGTCCATCACCACAGCTGAAAACTCACTCAGATGTGGATTCTGAGGAAGAGAGAAAGCAGTTATTCTGTCACAGCTTGGGGACCTAATCAAACCCTTATCAGCACCTGCTGTGGCAATTTTGGGGTGGCTGCAGCACAGGCAGACAGGCTATGCTGGGTCAGGTGGAGGCCAGCACAAGGTGCGGTATCACTGACACCTAAGAAGGAAGCACGTTTGAGCTCAGCACCGAGGAGCCCATTTCCCTTGTGGGCTATGAGAGGCAGCATGAAGCTGGAGCAGCAGCAAGTCACCATCCTGGCACGTCAGCTTTTAAAGGGGCCCCATGGGGCGGGCACCACCAATCGCTAGGTAACTCTTCTCTCCTCCTAAGCAGTGGGGGTCAGATGAATCCCCTCTTGGGCCAGCAGTCCCTCTTCTCCACTGGAGCAAGATACTGGACTGCCTGAGGCTAGCAGGTGAGGGAGCAGAAGGTGGTCTTAAATTAACCTCAAGAAACAAGCCAGATGTCTAATTGTGCAATAATTCACAGCAGTCACTGGAAGGAATGGCCCAGTATTCCAGAAACTGAGTTTGCCCTCATATCTGAGCCTTCATAGAACTAAAGAACTAGAGGTGCTGGACAGACTGGTAGCATTTTCCCAGGGTGCTTAGATCTCACTGGCCTTCTAGTTGGATGATGGTATTCCCACCTGCCCCCTCATAGCAGTAGAATATTTTGGTGGCTGGAGCGAGTTCTTTTTTTTTTTTTCCGTCTTTTTGAGACAGGGTCTTGGTATGCACTTTAGGCTGGCCTTGAGCTCACTTTATAGCCCAGGCTGATCTCAAACTTACAATGATCCCCCTTCCTGCCTCAGTCTCCCGAGTGCCGGGATTACAGGTGTGTGCCACCACGCCTGGCTTTGGAGTGAGTTCTTGATGTTAAAGTGCTGGATTCTTTCCAGGAGAATCTTCTTTAGGAATCTGGGATGACAAGGGGATTATCCAAGAGTGCAGCCTCTGAAAACTTCAGAAGAAATAATGTGGTCTTTGGTGTAAGAAGTTAAAGTGAAAGACATACCCAAGACTAGGAAGTTCTCAAAAATATGATTTTGGAGTGGGGATGGAGAGAACCTATTTGATGAGTATAGGGGTACAACTGAGTGGGGGAATAACTTTTGTTGTACAGGGAGTTATATTCAGGACTTTCATACTGCGCTACATTCCAGCATTTTTTTAATTTTAAATTTTGAGACAGGGTCTCACTAACTTGTTAAATTGCTTAGGCTGGGATTGAACTTGAGATCTGCTAGCCTCAGCCTGCCAGTAATACTCTCTAATATTCTAATATTCTCTTGCACAGTAGGGTAACTACAGTTGACAACAATTATTTGCATGTTCCAAAGTAGCCCAATAAAGAAGACTTTGAATGTTCCCAATGCAAAGAAAGGATACATGTTGAAGGTGATGGATATGCTACTTACCCCGTTCTCATTATCACACAGGGTACACTAGATTGAAATACCACACTGTATACCACAAGCACGTAAATTATTATGTGCCAATTAAAATCTTTTTTAAAAATTAAAAATGGAGTTCTGACCTGGTAGTTGCAAATAAACAGTTTACTGTTTCAAGGAGTCCCTCAGAAATTGGCCATTTGTCCATGGAAGTTTGCAGTAGCTACCTGAGACCTGGAGTTTCGTTCCTTCCCACTGGAGTTGGCTGGGGAGGGCCCTGGGCCTCCCTGCACTGTGTGGTTGGCGCTTATCTCCCCTAGTCCTCTCTCTTCCCAGTTCCTGGCCCAGCTGATGATATTCCTGATCAGTTTCATCAGCTCTGTATTCTGTGGCCACCTGGGCAAGCTGGAACTGGATGCCGTTACCCTCGCAATTGCGGTATGTATGAGGCTCTCTAGTGGGTCAGTGAGAGCTGCCTGTATTTGTGTCCTCTTGCTGCTATAACAGACCGGCACAACTGAGTGCCTTAAAATTATCTCAGTGAAGCCTGAACTGGGCTTCAATGGGTTTAAAGTCAAGATGCCGCAGGACTGCAGCCTTAGATAATTCTCTTTTGCTGTGTGACCACAGAGCCGCAGGTTCTAGGGGTTAGAATGGGGACATCTTAGCCGGGCGTGGTGGCACACGCCTGTAATCCCAGCACTCGGGAGGCTGAGGCAGGCGGATTGTTGCGAGTTCAAGACCAGCCTGGGCTACAAAGTGAGCTCAAGGCCAGCCTGAACTACATAGCAAGACCCTGTCTCAAAAAAACCAAAAAAAAAAAAAAGAATGGGGCCATCTTTCAGGGGGTGTTATTCTGTTGGCCACTTCATGTAATTTGTAATCTGTGGAGCTCCGATTCCATGGAACTGGAGCTCCGGTCCCATATCTGGGAGAAGGAAATCATAAAAGGGGACTCAAAATCTGACATCAGCAAGAGGAATAAGCTCCCCAACACCCATTCCTGTCAGCCTCACTGAACCCTAGTCTGGACATGGATGGGAAGGTGGAGGTCTAGATCTAAACCAGTGTCCAGACCAGTTCATGACCCTCTGAGCTCGACTGCAAAAAAATTAAAAAAGCAAGAAGGCTGCATGATAACCTTTCGCCTAGATTTTTTGTCCTTCTCAGAACTCATGCATGTCCTTCAAGGTGGGCCCAGTGAAGGTGAGCAGGTGATTAAACTGGCTTGTTAATGCACGGAGGAGCACGGCAGGGATAGTGAATTGGCCTTCCTGTCCTTTTAACTCTGCCTGGCTTATCTGGTTTGTCTCTAGATAATCAATGTCACTGGCATTTCTGTGGGACATGGCTTATCTTCTGCTTGCGACACCCTCATCTCCCAGGTAAATGGAAGTGGTCACATTCTCACAGTAGCCCCAGACATCTCTTGAGGGTAGATGGAAGAAAGAACTCCAGCATTAGGAAGGAGAGTCAGCCCTCAACTTCAGCTCTCCTTACCTGCATTCTTTGCAGGGTATGTGGGTTTCTTTCAGCCTTGTGAACTACCGTTGATCTGATGGCTGCTTTATACTACATTTTTACCAAACGGGACACTTGGTGAAAGTCCCTCCTATCACTCATGTCTTAGTTGCTGTAGTCTTGTGGTTCTTAAATGTGAGCCGGCATCACAATCCCCTAGGGAGCTTGCCGGAGCACAGGCTGCTGGGCCCCTGCCCTGAGTGATGCTGAATGTTCAACATTCTCCTCGGGGAGAGGTGGATAGGTGTGGGAGGGAAACATTCTGAGTTGTATAGTGATGCTGTGTCAACATAAGGTGGGGTTGCAGACCAATGCATCCATCATAAGTTGAAAATATCTTTAGTAAAAAAATTCATTGAATACACTTAACCTATGGAACATCCTGGCTTAGCAACACAGAGTACTGTAGAGTGTCAGCGGCTTCCCTTGTGATCAGGTGGCTGACTGGGAGCTGTGGTTTGCTGTCACTACCCAGCTTCCTATGAGAGAAGGACCTCACATAATTGCTAGCACAGGCAAGATTCAAAGTCAAAATTCAAAGTACAACTTCTTTCTACTGAATTCATATCCCTTTTGTACCATGTTAAAGTAAAAAGAAACCTGTAAGTCAGTCCATCCTGAGTATAGCACCGTCTGTGTTTGCTAATGCCAGGGTGTAAGCCTTCCCTCTATGGCTAACCTGAAGGTGCCACAGAGAGGTCAGTAAACGTGAAGCTGGAAGACATGTGCACAGTTTGGCACCTGTAAGTCTGTAAGAGCTGTCTCCTCATACCACCGGCCCTGGCCCCAGAATTTCTGCTTTGGAAATTTCTGCCCAAGAAATTGCATTTCTAGCAACTTTGCAGCTTACGCAACTCTGACTGCATGTTGGGGTCATATGAGGGAAGTTTTAAAAATTATGCTGAGTCCCAATCCAGAATATCTTTAGTGGCTCCCTGGCATCTGTGCTTTTGAAATGCTCCCCATGTTCTAAAACCTCTTATCTTTTTCACCTCTTCCCTAAGGCATTTGGCAAAGTCTCCAGGGCACCTAGTGGCATAGCCAAAGGCTTTGGGGGTGGGGGACAATGGGGATGTGTGCTTTCTGTGCTGATAGTTTTGTTTTGGCTGAATGCACCCCAGACGTACGGGAGCCAGAACCTGAAGTACGTGGGGGTGATCCTACAGAGGGGCACACTCATCCTGCTGCTCTCCTGCTTCCCGTGCTGGGCACTCTTCCTCAACACTCAGCACATCCTGCTGCTCTTCAGGCAGGACCCAGAAGTGTCCAGGTAAGACAAGGCTGTCATGGTGGATGCAGCAGGTATCCCAACAAAAAGACAATCATCCAGGTTCCACCTCTGGGAGTTACAAAGGACAGGAACACGGGCACCACCAAGCTGGGGTGCAAGTTCTCCTAGGCTGACCCCTCCCACCCAGGCCTTACTGACTCCTGTATCTGGCTCCTAAGATCTAGAACCTTCCTTCTCTGGAGGACTTCCACGGTAAAGAGTTTTGAGTAGAATTAGAGTTGCAAACTCCTGGTGGCTGGGGGGCATAGCTCAGAGATAGAATGCTTGTCAAGTGTGCTGAGGCCTGGGTCTGATCCCCAGCACCAGGAAAAAACCAACAATAATAGCAAAAAGATTTGTGAACATCCTCTGTGTGTGGCATGGTCGTTTGTGATGTTTAGTCATAGTAATTCCTGACCATGGTTAGTATGAAAAGCATTTGAGTGCTTTAAGTCCTGCTGTGTGTCTCTAGGCCTCCTTCACCTCTTTTTTAATTGGTCTAGGGTGAGGCCTGGACATGAGTAGCTTTCAAAGCTTCCCACATGATTCTGATGAACTGCCACATTTGAGATCTACTGCTTCATGGACTAAGGCCTTTAAAATTAAATTCTTGCCCTAAACCAGTGGCTCCAAACCCAGAGGCACTTGGAAATATTTGAAGACATTTCTGGGTATCACAGCTGGTCATGGGGCTGCTATTGGTTAGGACCAGAAAGACTTGGTGACATCCTGTGATGCACAGGACAGTTCCCAGGACAGAGTTTTCTGGCCATGGTGCAGTGTTGAGAAACCCTGTCCTGCACCTAAAGATGGAAAAATCAAGAAAGGTAATTTGGGGTATGTCAAGCTCTAAGTATAAATTTTCTTATTTGCTCTCATGGTTTAAATCCATTTATTTAGAAAGAGAGAAGGCAAAAGGTAGCTTTAGTCATTAGTTATTTTATTTTGCCTCTCCTTCTGTGAAATGGAGGCCTCTATTATTGGTTCTTATCTTTTCATTATGCAGGCTTACCCATGCCTATGTCATGATCTTCATTCCCGCTCTTCCTGTAAGTTTTGAAGGGTTCAGAGTTTCATTTCTTGGGGTCTGTGGGTGGAAAGTGGCGGCAACATCCCTGAGCCCCATGTCTGGCTCAGTCCTCCATTGGCATCTTAATGGAAGCATGGTTTTAATTATAACCATTAAGGACATGACTGGTTTGTCCCTCAAACACTAGGGTGGGCGATTCAACTCCAAGAGACACTGTCTTAAATTCCCACTGCTGGGCCACCCTTTGGGATCATCTGGGGAGAAGAGTCCAGACTCCTATTTTAGGATTAAAGCCATACCCAGTTCAGAACCTCTGAGGGCTGCTTTGATCTTTAGACTTTACTTAGCTGAGGGTGGTCACCCAGAGCTATTAGTGGGTGTTAATGTTTGACACCCACTCGTGTGCGGTCAGTGAACCACTAACGCTAAGTCTGTCCAGTTGGAGAGCACAGTTGAATTAGTTTGCTGAGGCTTCTATAACTGAACACCAAAGGCTGATGGGATTAGGCAACAGAAATGCACTTTCCACCGTTCTGGAAGCCGCGTATCCGAGGCCAAGGTGTCGGCACAGTTGTTCTCGTCTGTGGTCTCTCCTGGGCTCGCAGATGTCTGCCCTTTGGCTGCCACATAACATGGTCATCCTCCTGCTACTCTGAGTAACTTGGTGAAACTCTGTCTCAAAAATAAAAAATTAAAAGGGCTAGGGGTATAGTTCAGTGGTAGAGCACTTGCCTAGCATGTGAGAGGCCCTGGGGCTCAGTCCCTAGTACTGTAAATGAAGGAATGAATGACCAGTCAATCTATAATCCCAGTAATCTGGGAGGCTGAGGCAGGAGAATCACAAATTCAAGCCCTGTCTGGGCAAGTTAGTAACTTAGTGAGACCCTGTATCAAAATAAAAAAATAAAAAATAAAAACTCGGATTTAGCTCAGTGAGAAGACTGAGTTCAATCTCACCAAAAAAATTAAAAATTAAAATAATAAAAGTAAGTAACTAAAGGATACCAATTCTGTTAGATTATGGCCTTACTCTGATTCCTTAATTTTAATTTGATCAGGTCTCCAAAAACAAAAGACCTCCAAATTGTTACGCGTGTGTGTGTGGGTTAGGGCTTCAAAGTGTGAATTTGGGAGACCTAATTCGGCCCATAACAATAACCATTTGCCCTCATAACTGGCATTGAGTGCTGGACGTGGTGACACACACCTATAATCCTAGTACTTGGAAGGCTGAGAAGCAGGAGGATTGTTGCAAGTTTGAGACCAGCCTGGGCTACAAAGTGAGCTCAAAGCCAGCCTGAACTGCATAGCAAGACCCTGTCTCAAAAAGAGAGAACAATACAAAACAAACAAACAAACAAAACTGGCATTGCTTTCTTTTTCTAAAATTTTTAATTTTATTTTTAGACTTTAAAATTTTTATTTATATGTTTTTGTGATGCTAGGGATTGAACCCAGGGCCTCATACATGCTAGGCAAGTGCCCTACCCCTGAGCTATACCCCAGCCCTGTCCTTAAATATTTCTAATGTGATAATCTTTCATTGTTTCACCAAACAGGATGGTAGCCCGGTCTACAAGGATGGGTCCTCCGAGTTTTATGTCGACGTCCCCAGGAAAATGCTTGCCATGCACTGAAGGAAATTACATTTCCTTTTGCCACTTGGGGAGGGGGTCAAGTGGGGAGGTTGGATCATACTCATCCACAAAGGAGATGACCACAGATGCCCCGCCCCACCCCCGCACTCACATGGTGCCTCTGTGTCCCTGGGCAGGTGCAAAGGGCAGCCAGGCCCCGGTTATGGCACAAGCCAGCCGTGGCTCCAGCTCAGTGATGTGTGTCGGGCCTCACTGGTAACGTTCACCTCTTCCTCTTTTACAGGCAGCTTTTCTTTATACATTACAAGTTAAATACCTGCTCAACCAGGTAATGGGGATGGCCCTTCTCCTTGGGGGGAGTGGAGGCCCTGCAAATACTCAGGGGTCTTGGAGACCAGGGTAGAGGGAGCTCACCTTCTTAGGGCCACTGAAAAATGTTTTCAAAGTTGTATGCACAGGGCTTTGCTGTGGAGAGGTTCGTTAGGTAATATCAGGGAGTGAACATATTACTTTTGGCTCTGGAAAATTCGTATCCAGTTCTTACTAGGAAATATTGTCATTGGCATTATTAGCACCAGGGCCGCTGTGTTCTTTGGCTCCCTGGAGGGAGGGATGCAGGCCTGTCTGCTCTCCAGAGAGAGCTAAAGGTTACAGTGGCCTGCCTGGTCCCCGAGGGTCAGCCTTGCTGCTTAGCTCTGTCTGAAAGCTCTTAATTGCTCTAGTGGAGACACAAAAGCTCAAACTGTAATGACATCTAACATCAGCCAGCACTCTTCCCATGTGGCTCACAGCATTGGCCAGAGATCCCAACATAGTTGCCCCCACTTGGTAGGTGTGGATATATGATTCTAGTGCATGGTGTGGGATGTGGGCTATTCCTTCTAGACAAATCCAGGTAAATGCAGGACCAGGCCTGATGTCCTTGCCACACTTTTCAGAATAGCTAACAGGGAAAGAAAGGAGAGTTTCCTACCTACTTAATGATCTTAATTTAGGATACTACCACGTTAACATAATAATAGTTACATATTTTATTAGCATGCATATTACTTTCTTGAAGTAGTTGAGAAAAGGAAATTAGTATTTTTGGTTCATCTCTGGGCTGTGTTGTTTAGTTGAGAACCAAGTTGAAAGCAGAGAGAACCCTAAGTACCTTGCAGGGTCTCTTTCTTCTTGGCTGTCAGCTGTCGGGCATTGTGGTGAGCTAACCTCAGGTGCAGGCTTGCTTACATGGAGACAGAGGGTATGAACACTGCACATTCCTCACACCAAGGACAAGGGAAAGGCCTAGAAGTGGAGGGCTTTGAACTGAGAGGGCTGGGGAGGTGTGAACTGGGTTATGGTAAACACGTAGGGCTGGCGAGGTGGAGCAGGGAGAAGGGCATTCCAGGCAGTGGAGCAACAGGGCCTCCTGTCTCCTGGTTCAGCGGCCTCCACCACTTTTTCTTCCTGTCACCTGTCTTTTGTAGGGCCATCATACCTATGATTTCATCTTTTCCTTCTACATTGGTCAGTTACCTGGCCCTGTAGGTCCTATCTATTCCTCCTTTTGTGCTGTGCCACTACCTGAATTCATTTTCTGTCATTTGTCCTCTGTATCATTTCTGTAGGATTTTAACTAGTCTCCTTGCTGCCAGATTTTCCCTGGGTCCATCCTACACCGAGCTGTCTGCCTGAAATGTAAATCTGATCACAGACTCCCTTGCTGAAAACTAACTAGGAGCTCCTGACAAATAAGTGGTCCATGTAAGTGGTCAGCCAAGACTCTTGTCCTGATATGGACTCAAGTCCTGTTTTCCTTGCAATCTGTAAATCTAGCCAGGTATTGTGGTACATGGCTGTAATCCCAGTACTCTGGAAGGCTGATGCAGGGCAATTGCAAGTTCAAGCCCAGCCTGGGCAATTTAACAACTTAGCGAGACCCTATCTCAAAAACAAAAACAAAACAAAAGTGTCTGGAGATGTAACCCAGTGCAAAAGACCTGGGTTCAATCATTAGTACAAAAACAAGCAGAACCCAAAAACTTGCAAAAAATGGATATGGTAAGCGCTATATGCTGAGCTCTATATACAACCCCTGTGTCTCTGAGATTCCAAACAGACAGGTGTTTCTCCTGCCCCTGCTTCTCAGGGTCGGCTGCGATAGTCTACTCCACATCTCAGAAAGGAATGTTAGTTTCACAAGGTCTTCTCTGGTCAGTTTTCTGAATTTCAGTTTTGGTCAAGACAATGTTGTGCTTTCACCTGCTATCCCTCATTGTCTGCAGTGTCATCTTTAAACATGTTGTCTCTGCCAGCCCCCCACCCTGGCAGATGAGCCATTTCTCTTCTTCATTCGCTTCATTCTGCCTTTTCTCCTGCCTGTGGCACTCTGTGGCCAGAGCTCCATACCTCATGCTCAAAAAAGAGGAGGAAGGGAGGGGAGAGGGGGAAGGTAGGAACAGCAGGGATGTGGTATCCCCAGTTAACCCCTCCTGCTGGGACACTGGCAGAGCTGGAGCCTAACGCATGTCCTGGTGAGTGTAGCCTGCAGTATCTCCTTGTTCCAGGGAATCGTTCTGCCCCAGATTGTGACCGGAGTTGCAGCCAACCTTGTCAATGCCTTTGCCAACTATATATTTGTCTATCAGCTGCACCTTGGAGTGACGTGAGTCTGGCTTCCTCTTGGGACAGGGAGGAGGGATGACTTGCATGTGGCTTTTCCAGGGTCCAGAAAAGCACCTTATGGCCCCATGTGTGACTCCTTGTGCCATCCTGGGAAACATTGGTGGGGATGCTCCCCTGGGAAGAAGATGCCTCAGGGTCTGCAGAAGAGCACACAAGGGATAGCCAGCTCTGTGCCGCACTGAGAGAAGCAGGGCAGCTCTGGAGCACAGCACCTGTCCTTACCAGGACCCTTTTTCAGGGGTTCTGCGCTGGCCAATACCATTTCCCAGTTCACCCTGGCTCTTCTCCTCTTTCTCTACATCTTCTGGAGAAAACTGCATGAAGCCACATGGGGAGGTAAGCACTGCCTTTCCTTCCATCTTGGATGTGAGTTTGCCCTGGGCTGAGTTGCTGCCCCATGGCCCAATATGTTGGAAATGTGTGTCACGCCTGCAGGCTGGTCCCTCGAGTGCCTGCAGGACTGGGCCTCCTTCCTGCACCTGGCCATCCCCAGCATGTTGATGCTGTGCATTGAGTGGTGGGCCTACGAGATCGGGAGCTTCCTGAGTGGTATGTGTGTGGACGACGGGATGACTGAAGGAAATGTGGGGGATCCTGTGCAGAAGCAGGGAATCAGCTGTCTTTGTCCACCAGGTGTCCTTGGCACTGTGGAGCTGGGCGCCCAGTCTGTTGTGTATGAGCTGGCTGTCATCGTGTACATGGTGAGTGTCTGAGAGCAGCCATGCAGCTGTGCTAGATGTTTTCCTTGCTTGATTCTTTGAAAGAGTTCTACAGATGAGCACAGGCATTAATGTTACAAGTAATAACCTGTGAAATGAGTGGCCAAAATAAAATGTCATTCTAAAGCTGGGGAGGGTCCCTGTGAGCTGCAGGTGGGATGGGCAGAAATTCCAAAGATCTTCTGGTTCTCTGTCCTAACATAGTTCAAATCTGAAAGAGTTGAGTGTTTTCCCATAATTTTAGCATCTTTCTCAGTTGTCACAACAGAAAGGTCTCGAAGGGCCTAGTGAGGTGGAGCTGGGTGGGTGGGGGTTTTGCCATGAACGCGAAGCTACTTGCCTGTCACCATGACAGCTCCTGTCCTGTCCTGAAGCCTCCTTCCTACATGACAGGGAAGCCCCTGAGGAGAGACTCAAAGGAATGCACAGTGGCGCTGCTCACCATGGCCAGAGCGTGGAAGCCATCCAGTGTCACCGCCCACAGATGGGCCTGGCTGAGATGTGCGTGTGCACAGTGGGCTTAAGTCAGCCTTTGGAAGGAAGGGCACGCTGATGTTCTAGAGAAGAGCTGTCATTGTCAGAGGCTTTTCTGTGAATTGTTTCACTGGAAACATAAACTAGAAATTCTGAAGGACTTTCTTCCATGGCAAGCACCACTTTAGAAACAGAAGTTGAAAGTGGGAGCCGGGGGCTATAGCTTGATAGTGGAGTGCTTGCCTGGCATACGTAAGGCCCTGGGATCTGTCCCCACCGCTGCAGAACAAAATGAAACAACAATAAAATCAGAAAGGGGCATTTGTAACATTGAAAGAGACTAAAGCCAGTGTATTTTTGTATTTTTTGTGGTATTAACGCTTAGATTCCATCACTCGTTGGTTATATTTTAAATACATATTTCCTCCTATTTTCTTTAAGAATCATTCTCTTATGAGCCTGTGCTTTTTTTTTTTTTTTTTTTGGTCTTTTTGAGACAGGGTCTCACTATGTAGCCCAGGCTGGCCTTGCAGCGATCCTCCTGCCTCAGGCCCCCAAGTGCTGGGCTTATAGGTGTGTGCCACCATGCCTGGTGGGCCTGTACTTTTGGTTTTTGTTTTTCTATCATTTATTTTAATCTGTATTTTTAAATTTTTATGTTTTATTTAAGTTCTATATTTCACTACCTTCCGAGACTACATCTAAATCAAAATGCTTAATGGAAAAAAAAAACCAAAAAAACAAAATGCTTAATGGAACATTAGTACTCTACTGTGTGTGGTATAGTTTTTAAACTAGTCTCCCATTGTTGAATATTTAATTTCCAATGTTTCAATATTAATAATACCTCAGTGAACATATTCGCACTGTACAGCAAATATGTCTGTACATCTGCTTGGTTGTTTCTTTACGATAAATTCCTACAAGTGAAATTTATCTACAGTTTTTGGTCTTTTGGGTATATTGTCATATCCTTTCCCATAGGCCTGTAGGAATGTGCCCTTCTGTTTCTCCCTAATCCGAAGAAGGATGGGTACCCTTTATTGCACAGGTTACATTTGCTCCATTTCCTGTCTCTCTCTGTCTTTCTGTCTCTCCCTGTCTCACTCTCTCTCTGTCTCTTTCTCTATTCCTCCATGTACACGGTCTGTAGTTAAATACCATCAGTTGTTCCAGTGATGTCCTTTGTAACCATTCTTTTTACCTGGCATTAAGGTGACAATGTATCTTTTTTTTTTTTCTACCAAAGATTGAACCAGTATGTTTAGTTTTTGTTGCTTTGTTTTGTTTTTTACCACTGAACTATATCCCCAGACTCTCTTTTTTTTATTTTGAAACAGGGTCTCACTAAATTGTCCAGGTTGGACTTGACCTTGCAATCTTTCTGCCTCAGCCTCCCAAGTAGCTGAGATTCCAGGCATGAGCTATCATGCCCAGCTGTGACACGTGACACAACTCTTTAAAGTCCTTTAATCTGGAACAGGTTCTTAACCTTTCTTTGTCCTCCTTGGTGTTGGCATTTCTGAAGAACACAGGCCACTGTATGTAGCATTTTCCTCAGTGTAGGTGCCTTTGTCTCCTGCGCAGACCCAGACCACCTGCTTTGGGCAGGAGAATGGAAGTGATGCTGTGCCCTGCTCAGGGCAGCATAGACGTTGACTGTCCCATCTTTAATGACATTAACGCAGGTGCTGGGTTAAGGTGGTGCCTGCCAGCTCTGTCCCTGTCACATGCTAGTCTCTCCCTTTGTGCTGAAGACGGCGTTTGATGGGAAGGGTCTGCATGGCACTGTGGTGAGCTTGCAGCCAGGGCTCAGGCTTCCATTTCGTTTGTAATCTTTAATCTGTGCGTCAGATTTTCTTTGACCTTGTGCTCTGTTCTGACTATAGGGCAACATTTATTTTCAAGTGAAGCTTTTTTCTTTATTAATAGCTCTCAAGTGGTAAATTTATAGATAACAGTAATGGAAAATCTTTATTGAGCACTGTCCACATGGGAGACACTGTTCGAAGCAGTTAGCATGTATGGACTCAGTAAAACCCACAATAACCGTAGGGGGTCAGTCCCTTGACTACAGCCTTTTTACAGATAAGACAGTGGAGATCCAGCGAGGTGAAGTAACTTGCCTGTAGTCACACCGTTGATAAATGTCTGTGTCAAAGTTTGAACCCAAACTTTCCGGCTTCAGAGTCCTGATTCCTAAACACAGTACAGTGCTACTTCCTTATAGTTCCTTTAGTACCATTCCTGTCTTCTCAATTTAGTCCCTTAATGGTCTTTAGAATAGCATAACCTGGACTCCAAACCACCCACCCCTCTTTCCCACCTCTCATTCCCAGGCGGGGAATATGATTGCATAGGTTCCTCCATGGCAGAGCTCGAACGCTAGCCCGTCTATGATTAGCATCATAACCTGGGGATCCAAGTTCCATATTTGCCCTAGGGGTTCCCAGCTGGACTAAGGGGATATTGCAAATGAGTCTTCAGAACGTGTAGGATCTAGCTTTGCCAGTAAGGTGCTGACATGAGGCTGCTCCTCTGTGCTGTGTTCTCACCCTGCAGTTTTGCTGTTGTAGGTCTTCTTTTCCTTTTAGATCCCTACAGGCTTCAGTGTGGCTGCCAACGTCCGGGTAGGAAATGCACTCGGTGCTGGAAACATTGAACAGGCAAAGAAGTCCTCCGTGGTGTCCATGGTGATCACAGGTGCTTAGATCCGTTTGTTAAGCCTCATGGTGCATGCAGTCTTCCCCATTTCCTGCAGACCTTGTCGGTCAGCCTTCCAGTGCCATGACAAAGCACCTGAGAAAATCAGTTCAAGAAGGGAAATGTTACTTCGGCTCATGGTTTTAGAGTTTTCAATCCATGGTTGCTTGGCCCCATTGCTGTGGGCCCGAGGGGAGGCTGACATCATGGCTGGGAACTCACTGTGGAACAGAGCTGCTCACCTCATGGCAGCCAGGAAGCAGAGAGAAGAGGGGAGAGGGCGGGACAGACCCTGCAAGGCACAGCCCCAGTGACTTACTCCCAGCTGGGCCTGCCTCTTAAAGTTTTCACAGCCTCCCAGTAATGCCATCAAATTGTGGATCCATCAGTGGATTAAAATCCACTCCTGAGGTAAGAGCTCTCATAATCCAATAACCTCCTACAAGCCCCACATCTGAACACTGCTGCCCTGGGAACCAGGCCTTCGACACATGAGCCTGTGAGGGACACTTAATACCCAACAGTAATGGACCTTGTTCACTGGGCTGTTTCTCCTGCCCTTTTACTTCCAGAGCTCTTTGCTGTAACCTTTTGTGTCCTGCTACTAAGCTGTAAGGATGTTTTGGGGTACATTTTCACTACCAACAGGTGAGTTCTGAAATTTTCTGCTTCTTTTTCTCCTCCTCCTTTGCCTCTTCCTGGACTCCTCCTTTCCAACCCTTCTTGATCTTCCTTCTCTTCTTCTCCTCCTCTTCTCCTTTTGCAATATCAGGGATTTTTTTTTTTAATTTTGAGATAGGGCCTTGCTAAGTCCCTACACTGCTGAGGCTGGGCTTGAACTTGCTGTCCTCTTGACTCAGTGCTGGGATTACAAATGTGGACCACATTTGGCTAAGTGTGTGAAATCTGTGGTATAAAAATGGTTAAATTGGGTAGATGCTGTCCTCAGGAAGCCCTGGGATAGCTGCATCTTGGAGGGGTGTCGGAATCATTTGCAAGATCAGAAACCACTGATGTTGCTTGGGAGGGACAGATCAGCTGTGGGAACTGATTCGTAATCTCAAATGCAAATTTAATAGGTATTAGTGGTGTTGCTGAAGAATTCTTTTGTGTGATAAACCTTTCTGTGCTCTGATGAGGGTTTTTGTTTCCCAAAGAGGCCAACAGTTATATTCTAGCCATATAGAAATACGGGCCCAGCATAGGGAGGTTGAGGCAGGAGGATCACAACTTTGAGGCCAACCTGAGCTACATAGTAAGACCTTGTCTCAAAAAAAAAATCATAGGTTTATTTCTTATTTGGACTACCTTTCTTAGCAATTATACAGTGCAAATTGGCATTCTCTTCATGGATGTAAGAAGCCAGTGGAATGGACAGAATTAAGTTCTGCAGTTTACTCTTCAGTTATTTGTCCTTAGATATGTTGGTGTTTTTCTGCCTCTGCCATTCTGTTACAGACTTCTCACCTCAGAGTAAGTAGGGAAGGCAGCTCAGAGAGCCCTCATTTTTTCAAGGGGAGTCAGATGATATCCTGAAGTCCAGGATACAGTGATGCTTCCAGTAAGAACATGGGGGAGTGTGTTTTGAGTCTACCTACTCTGGACAGGAAGAAAAATGAAAACAAAAGGCTCACACATTGTATCTTTGAGATTGGGGATGTAGGAAATTCAAAAACCAAATTGCCATCATGCACAACATAATGACCTTTTGGTCAGTGATGGGCTGAGGTTAGGGCAGTAGGCCCGTAAGGTTATAGTGGAGTTGAAAAAGTCCTGTGCTGTCACCTGGTGACGTTGTAGTGGCCACACCCTTGCAGTTGATGCCTTGCTCACTTCGTGGTGACTCTAGTGTATAAGCCTGCGCTGCCGGTTGTATGAAAGGTACCAAGGATAATTCTGCAGGAAGGGTCTGTGGCCTTCACAGTTTACTGAGCTGAGTTCCATGGGGAGCACCCCCTCTCCCCAGCACTGGGATTGAACCCAGGGCTTCACTCAAGCTAGGCCTTCGGCCCTTCATGGAAAGCACCCTAACTCTTAGGCTGCAGTGCTCCATTCTGCCACTGGGACACACTGACCTGCCCTAAGGAATCCACGTTAAAAGAAAGATGGCAATATAACCTGAATTTTAATTTTGGGGGTAGGTGTTCAGAATATTTAATTGCTTTGCATTGGTCAAATAGGTGATGTATTTTTTCTAAAAGTCATGGACTGTAACATGCGATTGGTTTCCTCTGTGTTCCAAGCAGTTGTAGAGTTGTCCCTGCACTGGCTCTTGACTAGAACACAAGTCCATGCCAAGGTGGGACAAGTGGAGGCCCGTGACAGGGGAACTGAAATTTTTCTTTTCCGTATGTTTGTTTCCTGCCAATTACCATGTGCTTTATTTTCTGGACAGAGACATCATTGCTCTGGTGGCTCAGGTGGTCCCAATTTATGCTGTGTCCCACCTCTTTGAAGGTCTTGCTGTGAGTATTTTGCAGAAGTCCTTTAAGCACTTGTATGATCTGTGTTATATATTTCTTACAATGATGATAAATTTCAACTGGGAAGAGAGTAAAGTATGAGTATCATTATCGTGATCATTTCTGCAGAACACTGTCACATGGACGTGAATTTTAAGCTTGAGCACCTTGGTAGGCCTGTGACCCAGTGGTGGGTCGCTCAGAACCCCAGCAGTCTCACTCTGATGGAATATTTCCTGCCTACAGTGTACCTGTGGAGGCATCCTGAGGGGGACTGGAAACCAGAAGGTTGGAGCCATTGTTAATGCCGTGGGTTATTATGTGATTGGTCTTCCCATTGGGATCGCACTGATGTTTGCGACTGAGCTCGGAGTGGTTGGTAAGCTTTAACCGTGTTCATGCAGGGTTCAGAAATCAAATGGGGCAGGCCCAGGAAATGGTTGTCAGAGCACACTGAAACTTGACTGTGGAATTCTGGAAATTTCCCACACTCCATCCAGGCAGGGAGGGCACTAGGAGGGGCCGGAAGTGGTCTTCTGCCCCTTCCAGGCCCCAGTGCTGGGTCATGCCCCCTTGCCTGTCGGTGCTGGTGATCTTCCACACTGTCGTACCTGAGCACAACAACTACCTTTCTAGCCCTTTCCCTGTCGTGTCATCCAGTTCTTCCTTCAAAGGAGGTTATAGCAAGAACCCTTGAAAAAGCATTTGGAAACGTCCCTTTTCTACAAAAGGGATTCTGTCCTTTTCGTGAAAGCCCTTTATATGTTGAGACCTTGAGAGTGAGACTCCAGGACTGACGCTGGCGGTCCTGGAGAGTTTGGGATGAGATGGGAAAGCCCAGGTCAGCATGCTTGGCTGCTGGACACAGAACGTCCTGCAACAGCGCCCCCGTGTGTTCTCAATGGGCGTGGCACGGAGCAAGCGCTCTCCTTGCGTACTCGCCGCCCTGTCCCCTCTTCTCCGTGTGTCGTGTGGGTTCCCACAAGGGCACAGAGGGGGCGAGTGTGGAAGATGCAGAAGGAGGTGAATCAGGGCACCCCTTTATCACCTTGCAGCTTTTGGAGGAAAGAACTAAATCCACAGCGTCTGAAATTACTAGAGCTTATCTTTTCAAAAAGCAGGGAAAGAAATTACTGCCCCATTTAATTTCTAGAATAATAATTGGGAATATACTGGCCACGAATAGGTGATTATATTAAAACCTGAATGTTGTCTTGGGGTGAAGTGGTGACCGACTTACGCATGGTTTGTTTTAATACATCAGTACCCGGTGAGCTCTGAGGTGGTGAGAAGTAATCTGATACCTACAGAGAACTTCCAGTCCCGCGCATTCCGTTGTTTTGTGCCCTTTTCTCAAGTTCAATAATATTTTAATTAAAAATATGAGAGATGTTCAGAGTGGAAGTGCCAGATTTCACTGGGCTTCCACCATGGTGCAGAAAATTATTTAGTTGAGTTTCTGGCATTCCTCATGTTTTGGATTTGCTGATGACACAGTTAATGGAAATATCAGAGCAACCTTTTTTTTTTTGTAATATATTTTATTTAACATAATGCATTCAAAATATTATCATTGTAACCTGCAATCAGTATAAAACACCAAGGAGACACTTTATATAATATTTGGTATCTTTTTATTATTGTTTTTACTGGGGATTGAACCCAGGGCCTCACACTGAGGAATATTTCCAGTCCTTTTTATTTTTTGAGACAGAGTGTGACCATGCTCAGCTATTATATCTTTTTTAAATATTATTTTTATTGATATATCATAATTGTGTACATTTATGTGGGGTATAGATGATACATGTATACAACAAAGAATGATCAGATCAAAGTGATCCGCATACCCATCTCCTTGCCTACTTATCATCTTTCATAGTGAGACGTTTGAAATTTACTCTAGTTAATTTGAAATACACAGGGTGGACTTCAAACACCCTGCTGTGTAATCAGTCTCAAACTATTCCTTCTATTTAAAACTTTGTAACTTCTATTTATTTATTTGTATGTTTATTTATCTATTATTTTCTGGGGATCTAACCCAGGGTCTCGCCACATGCTAGCCAACTGCTCTGCCAGTGAGCTACAGCCCCAGAGCCCAAAACTTCGTACCCTTTGATGAAGAACTTTTCTTGCTTCCCGCCTCCACAGGCCACTCCTGTGGCCTGGTAACCATTCTACTCTCTACTTCTGAGCTCAACTTTTAGAAGAGGAATCTATTTTGAAGTATAGATCCACCTATATCTCCAGGACTGTATTTAAGTCTCTTACTCATTTAGCAAAAGCATTCCTACTATGTGAAAAGTAGAGAAACAGTTGAGCGTCCCTGAAAAGAGGTGTTGGGGACTTTGGGGAGGTGAGAACACTGTAAGAAGACTGTAGTCAATCCCTTCACTCACTCTTAGGAGGAAGACTGCTACCACGTCATTGGGAATACCATGTGGCCTGTCCTGCTACCCAGAGGACAGGAGCATTTGGCCAGTTCCCACAAGCAACTCCAACAAAATGACAGACTCCAGATTTCCTAGGAGGCCTTTCAAATAGGCAAATTCCTAAGCCCAGAATAGGGATTTCTAATAATTAATCTGTTTTGGGTTTGCTAGGTTGAATCAAACAGAATTTTTTAAATGATACATTGTGATATTACTAGAAATAAAATTGATAACTTTCCAATTACAGCTGGAGAAAATCGGTCATTTTCCGTTGAGGCTGGTTAGAGTGAGCTTGCAATTCACGTGTACCTGGAACTCTGAGTTTGAAAGAGGAAGCCAGCATCTTGCTTTTACTAATGCATTATAGGAATGGCAAGTGGTCACTGCCTTCACTGCTGCGAAGGGCAGATTGATCACATCTGAAGAATACCACGTGAGGATGAGGGGTACTGAGAAGCAGAGACATAACCTTGAGCTAAGTCTGTCTACCACAAATGTAAACGGAAACCCATCCTAACCTCCTCAGCCCTTAGGTGGATCCAGACAGTTGTGGAATAAATAAACTAAGACCAAGCGAGGGGGTAAAGCCAACGCTGTGATTTCTGAGTCTGTTGGTCAAGGGAGCCAGCCAGCAAGAGCCTCACCCTACAAAAAGAGATGGCTGAAGTGTGTCTCATTGGAGCCTGTTGGCCTGGAGGGAACTGGAGCCTGGGGGAACTGGAGGCGGTGGACTAGGTCCTCCATGTGATTGCTTAAAGGGTCAAATTTATTTAACTTTCCCTAGTTAGTCCTAAGTTGAAGTGGGGACTAAAATTAGAGTAATTGTCAATTATTAGCCAATTCTAGGACATTTGGGGTCCACCGTTACAGAAGTTACTGTTTAGCTTCATGGGTTGTCACTGGGAAACCCAGGCAAAGCAGCTGCAAGTCTGCTTTCTAGCAGGGGGGCTTCTTGGGTTGCGTATCTCAGATAAGGCGCTGGTTGCCTGTGGTCGTGGCTGTAGAAGTCTGTTTTTTATATATAAGTTGACTGCAGGGTCAAGTTTGCACAGTCAGCCTCTGGTAGCTGTCTTAGAGCTTTTGATTCTGCCATTAGTTTTTTGTTGACAAAATGACCCTCATCATCTGGGTGCTCCTGCATGCCCTGGGCAGGTTTAGTAGGCGGGATGTGTGGGGGGTGTACTCGGAGAGCTGTGAGGCTTTTCCTGTCATCCGTTCCTACTCAGCCTCTTCTTTGTATGTTTTCTGTTCATTTCTAGGGCCATCACCCTGCCCTGGAGCTTCCAGCAAAATCTGTGCTAGGAGCAAGTTAAGATCTTAAGGGCAAGCAGGAAGCTCCGGGGGAGGGAACACAATTACTTCTAATGGTTGGTGACTTCTGCTTTAAGTTTTTCTTATATTTTACTGTTGTTATTATTATATGATTACTAGGGGTATAAAATGAGAATAGAGTCTTTACAAGCATAATTTTAGAATATGAACATTGTTTTCTAAAATGTTTTTCCAGCTGGGGTTGTAGCAGTGGTAGAGAGCATGCTTAGCTCCCGAGGTCCTAGGGACTTAAATATGAATTTATATAAACCTGAGGGATTTTTTTTTAAAAAGAGAGTTTTCCCCCCTTTCCTCTTTTAGTACAACTACAATTGATAAACATGCAAAATAACTAATTTCCAAATCAGGGACTTCTAGTGGAAACATACAAGTTAAAAATTTTAATTCCCTTACTTGGCACAATTTCTGCTTTTTTGAGAAGTTTGCCTCCTCTTTTGAGGAACACAGAACAGCAGTAGTTTGTCCTGGGAAATTTAGTTTGCTTATAACTATCATTTTCTTAATATGCAAGCATTATAATACCAAAAGCCAAAAATAACTTCTGAACCTTTGCACTGACATCCTCAGGGAGTGCTGAACCTTCTGGAACCTTCTGTAAACCCAGTTCCTGCCCACTATGCTGCATCTCAGCCATGGAAGCAGAGTCTCAGGATGGGCCACAGAAGTGACAGAAGACACTTCCTCTCTAGGAGTGGTTGCTTTCCGTGGAGCTGACCTGTTAAATATCTCCATTTCCAGGCTTGTGGTCAGGGATCATCATCTGCGCTGTCTCTCAAGCTGTGTGTTTTCTGGCCTTCATTGCTCGGCTCAACTGGAAACAAGCCTGTCAGCAGGTAACTGTGCTCAGTGCTGCCCCAGAGAAGTTCCTTTCCATCAGGCAAACAGGATCCAGATTGGCGCTCCCCTTCATTTTAGAAGGTTCTGTTCCCTTTTATGCTGCTTTAACGCTTGTTTTGTTTGTTTGAACTGGACTTCCAAATGTGGAGGGCTGCACGACCTGGGCCTTATCTATTGCCCTATGTTGATTCCATGAATAGAAAAATACAGTCTCTTGCACTTCATGCCAGGACCTTGCATTTGTCCCCCAAAAGCCTATTTCAGTCTGGAAAGTATACCACATCCACCCTAATACTGTTACATTTTGCTAAGATATTGTGTGCTTCCTTTTCTTTGCCCTTCCAGGGACAAGGCGAGGTCTGGAAATAGATAGAAAAAGGAGATGAAGGAAGCAAATGAAGAAGGGCAAATTCTAACCAACCTTGGTTGATCCACCTCCTTTACACTGTACTCTTTCTGTCCAGCCTCCCTCACCCATTGACATCATTTCAGTCTTTCTAATAGGGAATCCCATAGTGATGTAGAGAAATTTCAGCTTTATGTGTCAATTAAAGAAAATGACTTGACTTTTCAGCTGGGTGGCCCACTAAAATGTCCTAACAACTATGGAAAGACTTTTGGACCTACTCTGCTTTCTGTTTTCCAGGCTCAAGTACATGCCAACTTGAAGGCAGATATGCCCCTGAGTGAAAATTCTACTGTGTCTCAGGATCCAGTTTACCCAGGTAGGGTAAAGCTCTCACTTTTGAACAGGCCTGTCTGAGTATGACAGGAGGGACCACTGGGGAACAAAACTAGATTGGCTGCATGACCTCCAACTATAAGAGAGCACTAATGTTTCAGAAATAAATGATTAGGTCAAGCGACACCCACTTTGTGGGTAATTCAACTCCACACATTCTTATACCACCATAGAAGATTTAAAAGGCTGATGTTCTATTATTCTGGGGGTACTTCTGTAAGCATTCTGCAGGCATTTCTTTTAAAAATATATGCTTTAAAATTTTGTTTGATATATATAATAATTGTACATATTTGTGGGATACAGTATGACCTCTTGATACATATTTATAATGTGCAAGGTTCCAGTCAGTGTAATTGGCATAGCCATCACCACATACATTTAGAATTTCTTTGTGTTGGGCTGCAGGCATTTCTAATATGTGGTGATCCTGTGCATGGACCATATCTCAGAAACTGACATTTGCATGTTTGTTTTAATGGATTCTCTCATTGGTCATTAAAAGGTGTCCGGCCAGCGGGGCAGAGAGTAATAATACAATAAAACACTTTTATTGTGGAGGGCTCGGAGAAGATTGACAGAGAAAGAGAATCTTCTGGGGGCTGGGTCATGGGGACAATGGTTAAATATGGTCAGGCTAGAGGCAGGGTTTAGGGGGTTGGCTAGCTGATGTGGCAGGCTAGCATTGGGCAGGAGTGTGGGAAGATGAAACAGAATATTACATAAAGAGGAGTAGGAAGTCATAATTTGACTCTGGGAAGAAGGGCGGGGCTTAGCACATGGCCTCGAAGGGCCAATGCCATATTGGCCATGGCATATAGTCTCCAGTAGGTGGCGCCACAGCAAATCTAAAGGAATTATGAAAACCTTTCATCCCCGTCTTTTTGGTTATGGGGGCGACGACTCTTCTTAGACTGCTTCCTGCTGAATAGGGGCGTTGCCATGATAGGAGGGCAAGGGGATGACGGTTGTCGCCTGCATGACTGCCAGTGTTGAGAATGTCTGCCACAGCGACGAGTTCGTTGGCCGTGATTGTACGAAGACTGGATTGAACAAAACTAGACAAAAGTTTAAAAATATAGGGACCTACTAGTAAACAGGCCATTATCATGATTATAGGGTCCGGAAGAGGTAGCAAGAATGGTGCCCATGACCCAAATGTGTCATTCCACCAGGACCATGGTGAAGTGGAGGAGAGGTAGTTTTTTAGTTCTGGGCGTTTACACTCAAGCCAGATACGAAGGTTTTTTTACCTTGTCCATAATGATCCCAGATTCATTTATGAAGTAGCAGCTCTCTTCTCCCAACATAGCACAAGTGCCCCCTCTCTCAGCCGTTAAGATGGCAAGGGCCCGTTGATTCTGGAGAGTGACTGCTGCAAGACTGTTAATCTGATTTTGAAGTGAACGTATGGCAGGTGTAATGTCATCTATCCTTTGGGGAAGTTTCAGGGAGAGCTGGTGGTATAGCTGTTGAGCATGTATGCGCATGCCCATTTCTCCTGCTCCCATGGCTACTCCTAACACTGTGAAAATGTTTACTCCCATAAGGATGGGAGCACGAATAGCCCTAATTTTGTGGTTTAGATGAATATCTGGAGATTTGGACAGGAGTGACATCTCATAATCTTGAGAGTTTATTGTTAGGGCAGGGACTAACAAAGCCAGTGTGCACAAACCTGTCCACCTTGGGGGGAGGCAAGTGTATGCTCCCTTTTTGCATATTATAAACCATCCCATTGGTGGACAGACAGCCCTGTCTTGTGTGTGCATAACGAGTGTGTTCAGTGAGGTAGGTCGTCTAGCTGTAGAGGGGTGTTTTTGACCTGAGAGATCAGGCAGGTGAGGTTAACTGGTCATTGTTGAGAGGGATAGATCTGCAGTGGGCCTACCATGGCTGGATTGTGTGGAAAGGACAGGTGTGAGGAATTCCAGTGTGTAGGAGCTGCCATGTATAGGTCCTGCTGATAAGGGACACAGAGCCAACATTCTGTGAGGTTGGAGGAATGTGAGAGAGTGCTGTAGGCATGTGAAAGAAGCTGTGGAATAGAAGGAGTGACCTGAGATTGTAGGACCCCAGAAGTGTAAGCTGGAGCCTCTATTAGTGGAAGTGGGGTCATCAGCTAAGTTTTTTAGTTGTCATGTCTGTAAGTTTAAAAGTTGTTATGTCTGTTTTTTCTCCTGATTATCAAAGGAGAGGCCCCATGTCTTTTCCAGGAGGAGTTGTGGATGTGATGCATTGAGGATTGAAAACGTTACCCACCTGACCCCATCACCCCATTTTACAAACCCAATTGAGATGAGAGGATCTGCATCCTTTAGTACTTGTCCCCCTGAATTTATACCTATGGTTTTGCAACCCGAAGTGTCAAGATAGAAGATGCTGGTATTGGTGTATTGCCTCTGGCGAAAAGTGGCAAGTCAAGGAATGACATATAAGCCACATAGATGGCAACATCGTCCCTTGGGGCCACTGCGTAAGTGTCTTGGTGTCAGGGCCCAGACATGTGCAGTTGCCCGTTGGACTTGCATCCATTTGTCTGCTTCCCAGGTACATTGAATGGGTACCATTTGACAGTATGGAACCTGAAAGGTAACCTTGGGATTTGAGGGAGTAAAATCGCGAGAACACACTATCTCTTGGTTGGAGAGAGTTATGGTGTACGTAGGTTGTGTTTGTGTACTGGAACTGGAAAAAGGTAGGAATAGTATGAGGCTCAGAAACAAAATCTTTTGTGAGGCCTGAGGTAGACAGAGGAGGGTGGAGATCCCAAAGGCCGTTATCAAGTATAGGAGGATGAAGGCTAGTTTTTGTGGCATCTGGAAATCGCTTGGGCAAACAGTCCACAGTCTGACGGCAAATGCTAAAATAAGTAGTACATAGAAGACCAAGAGCAGAAGAGGGTAACAATATATTTGTTACCTTGGTAACTCACTAGAGGTTCTAGTGAGTTTTAGATGGGTAGGAGATAAAAGTTGTGATGACCACTCTGGTGTTTGAGGTTTGGATTCTGGAGTGACCAGGTTGTTGGGGCACCTTTTTGCCTGGGTGATGTGGAATCAGGATGGGAGGCCAGTGACCTTGATCGCTGTGGGAGTTGTGAGGACCACCAAGTGGGGGCCTCCCCACCTTGACTGTAGATCTGTAGGCTTAGAAGTTTTAAGATATATTATGTCTCTAAGTGTTATGGGTGGCTCTGGCTGTTTGCCATCTACTGGTTGTGGAAGACAGAGGTCAGCATGTTGACGTAACAGGTATCAAAGAAAAGATAAAATTGGGATGTAGTCAGCAATAGGGGGTAAGTGGTCAGGAGTTGGGAAGTTATGAAGCAGAAATGGCCTACCATACATGAGCTCGAAAGGACTCAGAAAAATGGGTGCTCTAGGAAGTGTCCTGAGCTTAGTTAATGCTAAGGGGAGAAGCTGGGGCCAAGGCAGGTGTAATTTTAAGATTAGCTTGGTAAGGTGAGTCTTTAGAAGTTCATTTGCCTTTTCTACCTTGCCCGATGATTGTGGATGATATGGTATGTATAAGTGCCAAGTAATGTTAAGGCTAGAAGAAACCTGTTGAGTAATTTGTGAGATAAATGCTGGACCATTATCTGGCTGGATAGTCTGGGGAGGTCCAAACCTGGAGTTGATGTCCTGTGTAAAGGCCTGGGAAACTACATCAGCAGTTTCTTATGTGGTGGGGAATGCCTCTATCCACCTAGAAAAGGTGCAAACAAGGGTGAGAAGATATCTATAGGTTTTCTAGTGGGGCATGTGTGCAAAGTCGACCTGCCAGTCTTTACCTGGTGTTTTTTTGTTTGTTTGTTTGTTTGTTTGTTTGTTTGTTTTGAGCTGGTGAGTTGGGAAAGAAGTGGGTGGCAAGTGTCCCTGAGGGGAAGTTTAAAGAATGAAGGGCTGGGTTGGGTCAGGTAAAGTGAGAGCTGGGGCTCTCAAAAGAGCCTCCTGTAGCTTATGGAAAGAGCTTTGTATAGGTCTGGTAGGATCGAGAGGTTTAGACAAGGAGCCCTTGGATGCCTTATAGAGAGGCTCAGCGAGAGAAGCAAAGTTAGGAATCCAGAGACGAAAAAAGTTTGTTAAACCAAGGAAAGAGAGGATTTATTGTTTTGTGGTTGGGACCTGGAGGTCATGAAGGAGAACCTTATGGTCTGTGGTAATGGAATGAGTGGTGAGAGTGAGAGTGAGCCCCAAATATTTGACCTTTGGAGAGGCTGTTTGGGCTTTGGCTGGGGATACTCTATCCTCGGTTTGACAGAAAATTGAGGAGAGTAGCTGTGTGTTGTATTGACAGTGCATAGGAAGGGGAACAGAGAAGGAGGTCATCTACGTACTGGAGCAGAGTGCTGGGTTTAAGGTTGAGGGCTTCTAGATCTGTAGCTAGGGCCTGACTGAAGAAGTGAGAACTATCTCTGAATCCCTGGGATAGTACTGTCTATGTGAGCTGTAGAGAGCGAAGAGTATCTGGGTCTGTCCACATAAAGGCAAAGAGGTTTTGGCAGTCTGGATGTAGGGGGATGGTGAAAAAGGCATCTTTGAGGTCCAGAGCCGTAAAGTGAGTTGTGGAAGGGGGAGTATGGGAGAGCATGGTGTAGGTGAGGCATTACAGGATGAATAGGTGTGACTGCATTATTAATAACCCTGAGGTCTTGAACTAAGCGATAGGAGACATTGGGTTTGATTACCAGGAGGATAGGAGTATCGTAGGGTGAGTGGGTGGCTTTAAGAAAGCCGTTAGCAAGGAGATGCTGGATTATGGGTTTAAGTCCCCGCTGATGTTTGGGGGCTACTGGATATTGGGGAACGCAGGGAAAGGCTGATGGGTCCTGAGATGGGACAGCATGGGTAGCAAGGGTAGGGCTGGAGGTGTCCCAAACTTCGGGATCAACCAGTAAAGGGGGAAGGGGAGGGTTGAGATTGGCTGTGCACAGTGGCAGAGCTTGGAGAATGAGAGCTGTGGGGAGGGAGAAGGTAAAGG